TAACGATCCTAATTCCAATCTATCTTTGCCTTCGGCCTTTAATTCATCAACAGATGGCGCCACTAGCTTATTTTCTGTCCAGGCGTCCTTATCTTATCGAATCGTTATATCCTATCTCGTTCATTTGCGCTTTTGCATCTGAGGATGGTGGTTCGGTAAAACCATCGAAACTAGTCCTGTAAAAATTTGAAAATATAACTCTGATTTTTGTTGTTTGACTTCTGAATTAGTATTTGTTCGGCGTGTTATTGTGTCTAACTCTCCAATAAGAGTTATTCATACAAGCTGGTTATTTAACTATAGCAGAAGACGTAAGTGTTATTTAAGAGGATCTCATTTTAAAGGACTTCTTAAGGAAAACTGTCTCGTATTCAAATAACACGAGGTGAAAATGACAAGAACCTCAAGCAACTAGTCCGTGTCGGTGAAGTGAGCCTCAGAAAGAAGACAACGACTTATGGAAGAAAAACATATGTTTGAAAGTTTTGGAGGTGCCGAATAACGAGCTTTCTATTTGCACGCTTTAGCCAAAAGCCGATTGAATGGGTATTCATTCATTTATATATGTAAAAGATCTACTTAAGGCGACTGTTAGATTAGAAAGGAGACCGGACGCAAATGGATGTCGCGTAAAGTCTAATCTTGCTCAACATGTCATATCAGACTGTGAATCGAATTTTTAAGCAAAATTCAGTTAATGAACTGCCTAGTGAAGGGCATCCAAAGATTGTTTTCTATCAGTTTTGGCTCAAACAATCTGTAACGACTACTCCAGAGGTTAGGTTCAGATCCTTAGGATGCTACTAGACATTGAATCGGCCATTCAGCTCCTGCGTTTGTAAATAGACGTAAGCGAGAGAACAAATAACTTTTGTCTTACTCACTTCACCTTCCAAAAGAGCTGTTTCGAAGGTGGTCATGATAAATGGAGCCAAACGGATTAGAACATGGTACTGTTTAACTGCCGAATAACGGGCTTTCTATTTGCACGCTTAGGCTAAAAGCCGATTGAATGAGTATTCATTCATTTATAACTTTAAAAGATCTACTTAAGGCGACTGTTAGATTAGAAAGGAGACCGGACGCAAATGGATGTCGCGCAAAGTCTAATGTTGCTCAACATGTCATAACAGACTGTGAATCGAATTTTTAAACAAAAATCAGTTAATGAACGGCCTAGTGAAGGGCATCCAAAGATTGTTTTCTATCATTTTTGGCTCAAACAATCTGTAACGACTACTCCAGAGGTTAGATTTAGATCCTTAGGATGCTACTAGTCATTGAATCGGCCATTCAGCTCCTGCGTTTGTAAATATACGTAAGCGAGAGAACAAATAACTTTTGTCTTACTCACTTCACCTTCCAAAAGAGCTGTTTCGAAGGTGGTCATGTTAAATGGAGCCAAACGGATTAGAGCATGGTACTGTTTAACTGATAAGCCACAATGTAATCTGGATTGTGGTTGTAGATGTGTTTTCATCTGGACGGAGCGAGGAACACGTAACTTGCCTTTCCTTGAAAAGATCCCTTCTCTACAATAGTGGTTTTAATGTATGATGGGGACTTAATGAAAATCGCCTCACCGAGTTCTATATCTTTAATGAAGATATATAACCGCTCACAGATAACTGGATGAGGTCTTAGAATGCCGTGTATAGATATTAAAGCGTGCTATTTGTACAGATGTGTTTCTAATGGATGACAGAATTCGTTCGCGTCGAGTATCTCTGGTGTAGACAACCATCCACTGGGTTTAGTTAGCTTTTGCACTAAAGGCATATAGTAACCGTCTTTACAACTGTGTTTTCAGAATACTTGGAAACAGAAGCTGTCGCTCAAATTCACTACACTTCCCATCTGCAGCACTCTAAACATATATTTCTTCAGTAGAAGTGAGCAAAACCGCTCTTTTATGAGAACAGAACCTTTCGGTCACTGAACTAAATCGATTCTTTTTTTATGATTTAAGGGGACTCATACACCTTAAAACCCATAAGATCTTCGAATATGGGACTGTTGTAAGAGTTGGAATAACTTGTTTATTTTAAAAGCAATTACTTCCAAATTTTTACAGCTGACTACGTAATATAGCTGCTTTCTGAAATAGTAATCAGAACGTCTGAGTTGCCACAAATATTTTGATAATTTAATCCGATTTGTGACAAAATGTTTCGCCATCTTTCCACCTTGCGCGCACAGATTAAAACATTCCGTTGCATAATTTAATTCCATATTTAATATATAGATTTACTAACGTTTGGAAACTACTGTGAACCAAAAATTCTAAGAATTTCATTTTAAATTTTTATTTTATTTGGAGTTGAGTTTACAAAATGTGTTTTATTAAAAAAATTGTAATTTTTTTGTCTATAAACTTTTTTAATATTAAAATATTCATCAGACTTTTGCTTTGGTTAAAAAAGAGTGCCCATATAGAGAATTCCATCCAATTTCATGTATGTACCACTAGCCATTTTCAAAATATCATGCGCGCAAGGTGTAAACAGGATGAAAGATTTTGTTACAAAGTGGATTAAATTACAAAAATATTTGTGGCAACACAAACATTCTGCTTACTAATTTCCAAACCAGCTGTATTATATAGTCAGCTGTCAAAGGTTGGAAGTAATTGCTTCTAAATAAATAAAATATCTTAATTCTTGCAATAGTCACATATTCGAAGATCATAAGGGATTTAAGATGTATGAGCCCCCTTAACGCTCGGTAATAATAATTTTGATAAATAAGATCGCAAATGGAGAGTGAATCAAGATCGGCAATGGTGCAAAGAGCAGAACGAATCGAACAAGCGGAAAGGTTAGAAAGAATCAACTCAATCGAACCGCTTATCCTAGGATTGATTTATTTCAACTGTAGTTTTGAGATTCCCTAAAGCCTCCTTTCTACATAAAACTATTAGTAAAAGAATATTCAAAAAGAGCTACTGTTCTTATTTGACGAATCAGCGTTCGCTCACTCAGAAAAACAAATCGTTTTTTTTTTTTTTTTCAATTGGTTCGCGAATGTTAGCACATCTCTATTCCGGGGACATTTCCAAATCTGAAAAATGTACTTTCAGAAAGGTAGCTTGAATTTCGACAAGATTTGATCAACAATTTTTTAATTCTCCGAAATCAAGTTGTGAGGTTTGCATTTCTGCCAGAGGTGACCATACAGCATATTACAGAAAGATTTGCTGCAAAACAACGGAGAACAGTTTTCTCTTATTTTGCTTTTTACTTCCTTGTACGAAGTAAAAAGGAAGTATTGTAATAGCGAAAAGTTTCAGGCAGCATATTTCAACGAAAATATCCATTTTGACCGCTATCGAATGCAATTTAACTATGATTTTGCGTGATATCTGTACGTAAGGACAGAATAAAAGACTCGTTTCCTCCAAAAAAATTATAAAACTGCTTTAAAATTAATTCTGAAGAGAATTTTTCGTGGCGTCTGTACGAACGTATGTACGTACGTACGTATCTCGCATAACTCAAAAACGAGTAGCCTCAGAACGTTGAAATTTTGTATATAGGACTGCTATAACATGGAGATGTGCACCTCGTACTTTGGTTGCAATCGGCCGCACCAAACGTATATAAATAATATATTTATATATATGTCCACTTTGTTACTTGGCACAATGATCTCAGTTTCTTTACTCTTATATGTTTGTAAAGCGTACATTTTTTGCTTTAAAATGATTGAATTATGTTGTTCTTATTTTCCGGTTAAGGTTTTTATGCCTTTCGTAATTCTGGAAGCAATATTTGTACAATTATCAACAATTTAAAAATTGTTTAAGTGCGTGTAAGTTTTAAATAACATGGCGGACATATTTGTTTACATTTGAAACAGCATAATTGTAGATTTGTTGCCAATCTAGAGAGACTAAGCTTCGCAACAACAAAAATAACGCCTTCATTTATTATTGCGAATGAAATCATGCTTAATCCTTTCTGGAATTTGTTCGAGGAAATAAGTGTTTAAGATTTACTTAATTTTTAATAATTAGTAATTTTTAATACAGATATTTTGAGGTTTTATGTATTTTTGTCTTGTCGCGTAGTAAAAACTGAATTAATCGAATGAGAAATACTCAATCGTCTGTGAAAAACTGTTTCTTTTTTGCTTTGTTTGCTTAATTTCTTTTTTACATCGTTCTAGCTTTATTATAGTATTTGAAAAGAACATGTGGCAACGATTCGATAATTCTTTAAATGATATACATTTTGTGCATTCTGAGTTATAATATGAATGAAATATAATACTGTTAAGTGAACCTTGTGCCAGAGTGTCGCTATGTTAAACAAATAGAGTGAATTTTAAAGAATGTCTTTATTCTAATGTGGTTTATGCGCTGTTGGCGAAGTAGATTTAATTCAATCCAATAAGTTTAAAAGAAATGCAAGAAACAAATGCGTATAATTTAATATTCCGTTCAAGGAATTCATGTGGTGTATCATCAGATTTTTTTTTTTATTATTTTCTATTAATTTGAGTTAAAATTCAATATTTTGAGATTAATTAATTAACAAATTTGGTAATATATGTTAAACAATGCTTTTGTGCAAATTGCTTGAATCATTTTTAATAAATTATAACCAAATTTTATTTTTGTTAATATCCTTTCATTTTGACAAGCAGAGCATTTAAGCACGGATTTAAATATTTGGTACCAGAAGTCGCATTTTATTTTATTTCAAAATATCATGTCATTACCTTAAGCTTTCATGTCTGCTTATTAGACTTGGAGCAAAAGAGCCTTGTGATATATTATATGTAGTATAATACCATAACACGAACAAAGGGTGTAATTTAAATTATTTCGAATGATCTAATAAACTAAAACGAAATTTTCTACGAGATTCTCTCCTTATTCGGATCATATTCATTCCGCTCTGAGCCAGAAAGTAAAACTATATCATTTGCTTAAATAAATGCGGTTATGGTTGGTGTAACATAAGGAAATCTAATCTGTAACGAATTTTTCATTCTAGCGGAAGTGTTTCGAAGCAACAAAGCGCTCTGGTGGTGCCCGGACGACAAGAAGCTGGCCTATGCAGTGTTCAATGATTCGCAGGTGGATGTCATGACGTATCCCTGGTATGGTTCTTATGAGGACAGCACCAACATCTATCCAAAGACAATCAGACTTAGATATCCAAAGGTAAATAACCACTTATAATGCAATATCAGGAGGTGCATTTTTTAAAGTAGCAATTTGAATTAGAAGAAGTTAAGTTTTCTATTCTCAGAAGGAGATATTTGATAGAATTGAGTTATTTAATTATGGCAAAGCACATGAGGGCTATCTGCCTGAAGGGGGGATACCTTCGTGGAAGACTTTTTAAGGGAAACTGGCTCGTATACTCGTTACACAGGGGGAAAACTACGAAAACGCCCATGCAGCCAGCCCATTCGCGGGATTCTAACCTCGGACCGAACTACCAGTGTTCAGCGTTTTTACCGCTCGGCCGCTGGTGAGCCGATTTTTGATAGAGGCATCTTTTATGAAAAGGGAAAAAAAAGAACGCCTTATGACTAAGATTAACACAAAGTTTAGCATTTAATTGATACACATTTGATACATTTATTGCAATTTCCTTAAGTTGAAATCAGATGACGTCCGGTAGTAATTTAGCTAGCTCCATTGGTCTAATTACAAATTGTCATTCACTTCCTTTTCCGAGTTATCGATATGGAAGGGATACTTGCATACAGACCAAGAGTTAATAGCATTTAACATTAAGACTTTAATGAGTCTCTTCTCGGGCATTACAAAGAAAATATTAAATTAACAATCTGCTTGACTAAACTAAAACTCGCATTTCAAAGATAATCAGTTCTATGAGGAACCACATTCACTGCTTTTTATCGAGCTAGGCATGAGATCTTTAGCTTAAATACTTGGACAGGATTATCGTGATCACGTACTTAGCATGATTAATCAAAGGCTACAGATTTCCATTGGCTCCATTCATATGATCTGCCACGCATATGACCGGACTCACGTTCTTCAGGAAGACTTCAACTCAGGCGGGATCAGGCATCCGACCGACTGACCACCTACCGGTTCTAGTTAATTGCTTAAATCCCCATTCCTCTTCTCAAAATCTGCATAAACCTCTGGAGGGAACGAGCTCTTGACCAAGCTCAAAGTGGTAGAACAACAAGCAAGTTAACGAGGGTAAGTTGAAAAATAAGTTTCCCCTGTCGACTGTGGTCAGAGTTGTGTATGAAAGTCAAAAATTAGAATGAGACATTAAAGATATGACATACATTTATTTTTCCACATAGGTACCAAGTACATTGAGACATTTGTCATATCGCTTGATAAGCTTCAAAAACCTCTCCAGGAAAAAATCAGGGCTTTGCATATGGAAGAAGCGTTGAACGGCTTGTTTCACTTCAGTATTGCTTCCAAAGCGCCTTTCCCCGAGATTTTTCTTCAAAGCCGGAAACAGATGGAAGTCACTTGGTGCGAGACCAGGACTGTATGGCGGATGGTGTAGGCGCTCCCAACCAAGATTTGCAATATGGTTTTGCGTTGCCGTCGCCGAATGTGATCTGGAATTGTCATCCAACAGCAGAACGCCAGATGTGAGAAGGCCAGGCCGCTTTCTCCGAATCGCCTCTTTCAATTTCGACAGGGTGTCACAGTAGCGCGTAGCATTGATGGTTCCAACCTCCAAAAAGTCCAGCAACAAAACTCCTTGGGCGTCCCAGAAAACTGTGAGGAGCACTTTACCTGCAGAGGGAGTTGTCTTGAACTTCTTTCGGACAGATGATGACGGATGTTTCCATATGCAAAGCCCTGATTTTTTCCTGGAAGGCTTTTTGAAGCTTATCAAGCGATATGACAAATGTCTCAATGTACTTGGTACCTATGTGGAAAAATAAAGGTACGTCATATCTTTAATGTCTCATTCTATTTTTTTGACTTTCATACACAACTCTGACCACAGTCGACAGGGGAAACTTATTTTTCAACTTACCTACGTATCAGAGTACCACTTTCTGTGAATATCACTCTTGTCTCCCATTCTCTTCCTGATGTAATGAATTCCGTTACAAATTTAATGTGCACCCGATTCTTTCTACATGGACCGGACACTCTCTACAATTTCAGTAATTACACTAAAAACTATTTGAGAATGAAATACTTTCGACTACATTGTCAAAATTTGTTACAGAACAATTTAAGTTTCTAGTTGATAGTAGAGAAATCAAACAACAAGATTCAGCGCTATATTTGTAAATTTTGCAGGACTTATTTCGATGGTTTAACTACAAAACCATCTCCCTCAGCTGCCTAAGTGCAAAGAATGAGGTAAGATATCTTCATAAGATAGATAAGAATGGTTGGGTAGTTTAGTTTTTTTCTCCTATCAATAAAATTCCCAGCCCCATACTTAAGGACCCCATTCCGGATATGAATTCCTGGGGTATTTACAGATTCCTTGCCAATGTGGTTTAATTTGCGTTGGTCAAACTAAGAAAGCGTTAAAATTTTAAAGAATATGCGGCGTATGTTGGGAAAAAAGGAAACACTGAAGTCCTCTGCTGCCCAGAACTGTTGGTCCGCAAATCACACTTTCCATTTTTCTGCATTCAAAATTTTTTAAAAAACATTTTCCATTGGTGAATTAGATTTTTTAGAGACGTTTCACATTCAAAATAATCTTTCTATTCTAGATAACGACTCTAAACCCAAACCTCTCTTTACCTTCAAGCTTTAAGGAAATTATGTTTTAGTTTTCTTGTTTCATCAACAGATGGCGCCAGTAGCTTAACTTCTGTCCAGCCAGTCTTATCTTACGTTATCACCATATCTTATCTCGTTCATTTGCACTTAGGCAGCTGAGGAAGATGGCTCTACAGTTAAACCATCGAAAGTAGTCCTGCAAAATTCACATACGTAAGCTGGTTTTTGTTGTTGTTTGACTTCTCAAATAACCATTATTCGGTGTGTTATTTCAACCTAAAACATTGTTGATAATCATTAAAGGGTAAAATTATTGATGAAAATTATTAGAAAATAATATAAATTTCAGCAATATTTTTGAAGATAATTACAAACAAGGCGAAACTGCAGTCTGTTTTAAGGGGGCTCTTACACCTTAAACCCCTCATGATCTTCGAATATGTGATTGTTGCAAGAATTGGGATATTTTATTTATTTTAAAAGCAATTACTTCCAACTTTTTGCAGCTGAGTACATAATACAGCTGCTTTGGAAACTAGTAACCAGAAAGTTTGTGTTGCCACAAATAATTTTGTAATTTAATCCGCTTTGTGACAAAATGTTTCGCCATGTGTCCACCTTGCGCGCACACTATTTTAAAAATGGCTAATAGTACGTACTTGAAATTGGATGGAATTCTTTATATGGGCACTATTTTCTAACTGAACCAAAAATCTGATGAATATTTTAACAATAAAAAATTTTATGCGCGAAAACATGACAGATTTATTTTAATAAAATGCATTTTTATAAACTCAACTCCAAATAAAAAAAAAAAATTTATCATCAAATTCTTAGAAATTTAGGTTTACAGTAGTTTCCAAATATTATAAAAGCTCTATATTAAGTATGGAATTAAATTACGCAACAGAATGTTTTAAACTGTGCGCGCAAAGGTGGAAACTTGACGATAATATTTTGTCACAAAGCGGAATTAAATTATAAAAAATATTTGTGGCAACACAAACTTTCTGATGACTATTTCAGAAAGCAGCTATATTATGTAGTCAGCTGTAAAAAGTTGGAAGTAATTGCTTTTGAAATAAATGAGTTATCCCAATTCTTGCAACAGTCACCTATTCGAAGATCTTATGGGGTTTAAGGTGTATGAGTCCCCTTAATTTAGATTTATATCTCAATGTAGTTTTCATTTTTCCAACGAGCTTCCGACCCTAAAGCTATCAAGTCGCAGTTTTCTTTGGTACTGAATTAATATGTAATATAATACATTCATATATGTGTTTATGTTCGTGAGCATTCGTTTATCAATTATTCATGGACGAATCGATTTTTAAACTTTGTTATCGAGATATCCTGAGTAACATTACTCGAAAAATACTCAATGATTATTTTTCGCGAATAATGTTCATTCTGAATGCTTCTGTGGGCAGCAGAATTTGTTGCATATGTGAGATCTAGAACGTAAAGTAATATCACAGTTATACGTATCACTTTTGCTCGAAGTAATAAATTTTACTTATCCGGAACTTCAGCGGGAATTCTAAATCTCTTTTGACGTTTGTTAATGTCATCCATGCTATACTTATTCGCTTTGCAAGAATATAGCTTTTCTTTGAAATTCGATTCGGCATTTAAAAACTCCCAGTGACATCTGAATTTCCCATTAAAGCTTACCTTTATTTAAGTAAGCGTAGAAATAAAAACCAGGATCGAAATATTAAACTAGTGAAGGAATGCGGTTATACTGAAAGTAAGCAGTTGAAAGAGAATAACTATATTGCAAGGAAAAGCTGAAGGAAGATGAAAAAAGGTTATGCAAATATGAAAAGCAGCAAGACAGCAAACAGTGAGTGGACAGGTATTCCAAAATTGAAATTGTTTGAAAACTGTAGTAAGATTATAAATACTTTTCGTATGTGCACTCACTCAGCTACGAATTTATTTTCTCGTGTTGAATATTTATGCGTTTCAGATATAATTCTGCTCGCTACATTTTTCTGTGGAACTTGTTCATTGCGAATAAACCTGATTTCATACATTTCTACGCTTCGATATTTTATCCTGTGCGGTTAATTTTAGATGAAACATAAATATGAAATTTTAATACAACAGGTCATTTTTAACTGCGTTTCATTTAGATTAATCCCTAATCTTTAGCATGACTGTCAGTTTCAACTTTATTTTGAAATTTATTTGCCTTGTCTGTTTATGAATAGTATGTTCTGTAACGTAAGCATCAGTTTGAGCCTTCTAAATATTGACACTATATTATTTACAGATTAAACTACAATTTTAATCACTGTTCCTACATTGATATAAATTTATTGCTAGTTTCATTTGAGATTCCATAATTGGCGTTAAAAAAACTGATTCTATAGCCATTTTCGTACATATTTTTAACTTGTAACATTAACATGAGGTAGTTCCCTTAACTCTTTGACTACTAACGTGATATATATGAC